TATACTGATGGTTAATTGAGTTGGGCACCTATTCATTGGGAAAACAATAGTCTTTTCAACAAGTGGTACTGAAATCATAGGCAAAAGAATAACTTTTGGACAACTTACACCACATGGATAAAGTAACTCAAAATGGGTCAAAGGCCTAAATATAAAAGCTGAAACCCTAAAACCCTTAGGAGACAGTATTGGTGAAAATCGGCAAGACCTTGGGCCAGGCAATGGTCCTTTTAGGTAATTTACCAACGTCATCTGTAAGACAGATCTCGGCTGAAAGCGCAGGGCACCAGAAAGCCGGTACCCTGTGCCTGACAGCAACACAGAGGCAGGCAGTCTACTGCTGGATCGAAGCTCCCGATAACAAGAAAGAAAAACGTAATTCCAGAGCAATCATTGGTGCTCGTTTGTAACATGTGCACTAGATCAAGAGGCGTGTTCAAACAAAACAAGGGGACGGTGTGGTTTAATATCAAGAACGCCCTTCATCAGGGTTGTACTCTTGCACCCACTTATTCAATCTGTACGCGACAGAAATAATCGAGGAGACTGGACTGCATGCAGGACGTGGCAAGACGGGAGGAAGGCTTATGAACAGCCCGCAGTATGCAGACGACACCACCTTGTTTACAGAACGTGAGGACGGCCGCAAGCACCCACTGATGAAAATCAAAGACAGCTGTCTTCCTTACAGACTGCAACTCAATGTAAAAACCAAAATTCTCACAAATGGACCAACAGACAACATCGAGATAATGACAGGACTGACATTGCCAAGGTCTTCATTTGATTGGATTCTAATCAATGCCCAACAGCCATCCAGAAATCCAAAGATGGATTGCACCGGGCAAATGTGTGGCAAAAGGCCCCTTTAAAAGTGTTAAAAATCAAAGATGTCCCTTTGAGGACTAACGTGTGCCTGACCTAAACCATCGTATTTTCAACGGTCTTGCATGACTGCAAATGGTATGCAAGTGAATAAGGAAAACTAAAGAAAAATGGTGCCTGTGAATTATGGTGCAGATTACATATATGAAATATGCCATCTCTGTTGGGAGAAAATAAAATCCGGAAGGAGCCTTGGAAGCAAAGACAGAAAGCCTTCATCTCACCCAAGTTTACATGTTAGCAAGAGGACCAGTCCCTGGAGAAGGGCCGCATGTTTAGTACAGTGGGGGGTCAGTGAACACGAGGAAGACCCTCAAAGACGTGGACTGACACAGGGCTGCAGCCATGCCTCAAATGCAGCAACAACTGCGAGAATGGCCCAGGCACCAGGTAGGGTTGCATTCTGGGCGCACAGGTTCAGGGTGAGCCAGAACTGATTCAACGACACCTACACGTAACTTTTTTGAATTTTAAAGTCACACTTTGAAGTGTAAGCTCCTAGAAAGAAAAATTAAACCTATGAGGCCCAACACTGAGACCTTTAGAGTGTGAAATCAGGTCAGCGTCTACACGTTAGTCCTGTCACCGACGACGAAGCTTTATTTGGGGCTTCACTGACCTTTGGGCAGTCAGAAGATGCCGCCTACTGAGTATGAGAAATATACAAGCATTTGATAGCCTTTCAACTGCTGAATTGTGATGTAAATAATTCAAAGCACAGCTTCTTTATCCTGTCTAGAAGCTGTGTGCCATTAAATCAACTACTTTCTCAGTAATGATCAACACACCTGGATTAAAACGTGGCACAAACTCTCGTGTGTGTGTGTGTGTGTGTGTGTGTGTGTGTGCGTGCGTGCGTGTGTGTGTGTGTGTGTGTGTGTGTGTGTGCGTGCGTGCGTGCGTGTGTGTGTGTGTGTGTGTGTGTGTGTGTGACAGAGAGAGAGAGAGAGAGACACCACACGAGCAACCCACAATCCACTGTTTGCTGATCAAGCCCATCAGCAGCACACCAAACAGATGGCAGTGGGCGTGGTTTGCCCTGTGTGCAGGCATTAAGGGTGTGCACAGTCAGTACTGAGTTTTAAAACAATAAAATCAACTAAAAGTCAGTTTGCTTTTACTATCACCATGTGTAGAAGCAGCAGTTCTACACAAGGTGAGTGATAAAATACTCCACTGCCACGACCTTGGTATATCACTGTTCCTGTAACAGTGCAAATTCTGAAAGAAAACACGTGTGCACACACACACATATACACAAATAAATAATTTGAAAAACAAAAAGCCTGAAATGCAATACAGCTACCACTTTAGTCACTTCACTGGCACAGCTGGTGACTTAAGGAAATGAGAAAACACATCCATAACACTTTAGTAGAGCATGACTTTCCACAATGAACAGCCAACAACCTCACTCCATTTATTAGGTAACCAAGTTGGCAGTCATAATTTACAAGGTAGACTGAAAAGCTATGAACACGCACTCATCACCTGGCCTAATTAATTTCTGTAATTACCCCGTTGAAAAGAAATTACTAGTAATTTAGACTCAGTAGAGTAATTCTTGATGAAAATATTAACAAGCTTTGGTCCAGAACTTTTTATATACTAAAGGAAGGGGGAAAAAATTAGGGCAATCTAGATAGACAAGCTCTTTCTCTAACTAGAAGTAAAATGCTTAGTACAGTTATTTAGCATCTGATTTTCCAATGCGTCACATAAAAAGTATACTTTTTTCTAAAACAATGAGATGTGGTATTTGAGACCATATTTGATTTTCCAATGCGTCACATAAAAAGTATACTTTTTCCTAAAACAATGAGATGTGGTATTTGAGGCCAAAACTAAAATGGCTACAAACAAAAAACCCTAATAAGCAAGCATCAAAAACAACCACAAGGGCAACACTTACCTAAACCCTCCGATTCAAAGAGGTACGTCTCATCCACTCCAATGTCCCGGCACCAGTGGAGGAAGTTTGCAGTGTTGTCTCTAGCAAAGAACGAACCTGTTGGGGCATCTTTCTTGCAAGGAACTTTTCTCATTGGGAAATTCTGGAAAAGACAAAATGTATCAAAGGCATTTTCATCAGATAATCATTTTTATGTTATAAATGAGAAGTTGATGCATTAAATTCAACTAAAAAGAGAATAATATTAGGATAAACAGGTATCCTCCCAAATTATTTTATTTTCCATTAAACATAACACAGAAAATGACTCCTAGGAAAACAATCTGGTCAAAATTAGCAGTAGAATCAAGCATTTCCAACTAGTCTCTTTTTAAAATGGCAACAAAATCTAAATTGAAAATAAGAATGACATGTTAATAATTCCAAAGAATATCTTTGTGGAACTTGGCTCAGTGCAAACACAAAAGTTAGTGCGGCTAAAGGCTAACAGACACATTCGTTTTCCTGATGTAAATTCATAAGTCCCTGGTTTCTGGTTGAGTCTCTTGAGGAAATATCAAATAAGGAAGGAGGAGCCCGTTCTTAGGCGCTCAGTGGCAGAGTGGGTTCAAGGTGGAACTGCTAACCGCCAGGGCGGGATTTCAAATCAACCAGCTGCTCTGCTGGTGAATGACAAGGCTTACAACCTCGGAAATCCACGGGGGTTAGTTCCTGTCCACAGAACCAGGACCACCTCAATGGCAGTGAGTTGGGTTTTGGTTGGTGCCTGTTCTTAATATCTGAAAACCAACGGCG